TACTTACTTTGAGTGCGGCTTCAGTCTTTAAAACAGAATGAAAACAAAAATAGAAACTGTTCCAACGTGTTTCAGCCAGAGTGGCAAGAGAAATCATTTGTTTATAGCATGACATTTGCTCATTTCGTAATAAAATATGGAGAGGAATGAAAATAGCTTACAATATGTATTGCATTTTTTGATGTTGTTTTGTATGCATCAGATTCCTTGAAAATATCACTGAAAACTAAGTTGATTTGATGTGCCATACAAGGTATGAAAACTTTATTCGAATATTCAATTTGTAGTTGTCGTCTAAAAAATTAAATTGTATCATTAGTACTATATTTAAAATATAAGTACATTAATATGTATAATATTTACCTTGCAGCTGCATACTTGCCAGCAAAATCTGATACATAACAATTAATTTTTATGTCTTTTCTTTGGCATCATCCATTATACCTTTAATAAGGAGTTTCACATTCTCAGTTCTTGATCATCGATCACTAACGTCATGTACATTCCAAACCAAAGCTTCATCCTGAGAAGTAATGAAGACGACATCAAAAAGATGCTTCCGCTTGATGTTTGTCCAGCCATCAAAGGCTGCAGTCACTCCAATTTTATCAGCAGATGCATTTGTGAAATTTCGTCCATTAATTTTTTTGAAAGTTTTGGCAAAATTCGATCTCCAATTGCTCATCGATTGGATAGCTTTAAAGATGGCATGATGAACTTAAAAAGATCTTGCGTTTCTTGATTCTCCATAAAAGTAAAGGAAAGGCCATTTGATACAATCATACGTAATGCCAAGTTTTCAAAATGCAATTTGTCTTTTTCTGATAGTGGACGTGTGATATAATTCGTGATAAATCCTTGTCGTTTCATTTTTGGAGTGAAAATACTGGTAGGTGATTTTGAGATTTTGGAGGTTGTGGAAGTTGGTGCAGAAATTTTATCTTCAGATTCAGAATCAATATTGGTCACAACTGCTATATTTCAAAAAATATAAGCTGATGATTAAAACACACTATTTAATCAATAAAAATCAATAAAATTACCTCGGCTACTTTTTTTTAGTGTCTTCAGGTACTGATCATGCACGAATCTCCAAAACCTCATCTATGCTATATTCCGCTTCAAAATTTTGACATTTTCGAAGGTAATTTCAACATAATTTTGCTTTGTTAGAAACAAAGCACTCAGAGTTTGTAAGAGCAAGTGGTAAGGTATGCTTTCATATACATGAAAGGCAAATTGCCTTTTTATTTGCTTTTTTTGTCGTGGGTTCAGCCAGATAAAAAAATTCCTGAAAATTATGTCCTTTTTTATCCATTGTAAGCTTTCTGCAAAAAAAGATTATTTTCTGATAATTTAAGAAACACAAGATATTGGGCACGAGGATCATTAATTCAGTATACAAAATCCTTTCGAATTTGGTACATATTCTTACTGCTGGCGAACAAATTTCTTCGATTACGTTTTTTTTTTGAGAATCAGACCAATTTATGTTTAATGTTGCCGAATTCCAAATTGGTAGAATTTACAACAACGTTGCAGTAAGTTTCTATCACTGCAGATTCCCAAACTGGCAAAGTTTTTAGCATTACAATTGTCAATAATGCTGCAGATTCCATCACAATTGTTCACAATGCCTAAAACTGGCAAAGTCTTTAGCAGCTAAATTATATCAACAATACTGCTATAGATTTTTCAGCAGATTTCCGTTACGAATATCAATAAATGCGATCTATAGACTTTACAGCATGATGACATGCTGATAAAAACAACAAGCTTTCCCTTTTGATATACAACATGGAATTGCGCCATTTCCCGCGTTGTTTACAGCATCCCCTTGTCATTTTTCAGCATCTCCTCATCATTTTCAGCATCTCCTCATCATTCTTCAGTATGATTCCATTAGTTTTCGATTCATTCTGCAATCAATTTCTTCTATGGATCATAGAGCGTCCGTCATAAACATTCTTTTCTTTAATAGTAATAGATAGAATGATACATACATGTAATAATACAAAAAAATGTATAAAAGAATGATCTATAGGCTACAGAAAGAACAGAATAAAAATTGTGTACAATTCTTCTCCAAGCAAAATACAGCTTGAATCTTTGCGTACAACTATTCTTAAAAGCGAATTATTACTTGTAAAACTCTTCCTCCTTTCCCCATATTATTCATGATATCGTATTACTTGTTGGTTAGGTCCTTTGTACCAGAAAAGGCGTAGTTTTTATAGAATCGCATTGTTAACGAAAAACTGTTTTTGTGTAATTACCGTTGTTATTATTATTTTTAAGAGTTTAAGGTTTTTGTCTAGAAAAAACAATAATTGTTAGTAATATTTTTAAGAGTTTAAGACTTTTATCTATAAAAAGCAATAGTAAAAGAATCTCCAAACACTCACCTGAAACACATAATCTCTCTCTCTCCCCCTCTCCAATCGACGTAATCAACGATATCAGCACAGACTTTAGATACCAAACAAATATAACACAGTCTAACAATCTCCCCCAAAGTTTTGTTGCGTCAGAAAAACTTCAAATCGCCCCACATTAATTATAAGCGCAACAATATATTTGCTAATTATTAATGACACACTCTTCATGTTTAAAGGTTTCTGCTTGACTAATAATAATCATGTGCTTAGATTAATATAACCAACCAAAATGATCCAAATGACTCGAGTCATTTGCAAATGACCCGGAATTCAAATGACCGAAAATGACCAGTCATTTCGATGTCATTTGAGGTCATTTGCAAAATGAGCAAATGACCCGGTCATTTACCATCACTGATTGTGATAAACGAAACTGCGTACTGTATGTACCGGTACGTATACGTATGTAATTGAATAACGATAAGATTCTGTATACGTATACAATGATAGGCAAACTTATAGACATGGCATGTGATTGATCTTTATATGTTATCGTTATTATTAGCTCACTATGAACTTTACAATGCATTGAGATAGTGTCCCAACAACTTTTTTTAATCGTAAAAACATATTTTCATTATTGTATTTGAATTAATGTTTTCATTATCGTATTGAATTAATGTTTTCATTGTAGATAAAGTATGTATCGGTATAGATCATAAAAGTATATTTTCATAGTACATGTACATGTATTCATATTGAATTAATGTTTTCATTGTAGGTAAAGTATTACCGGTATAGATCATAAAAGTATATTTTCATAGTATATATATTATTGTATAGTTTCATAATTTTTATATATCATGTTTAATGTACATTTTTTATAGATTGTAGAGCTTCTATATCAGGTATCGTATAACAACAGTAACAACCACCACTTTAACAAATAGATATAATCTCATTACGATTTATAGATTAGATGATAGATTAGGATTTATAAAAAAAGAATTGGAATTAAAATTCGAATTCTGGAGAAAAATTATTTCTTCGAATTAATCTAAAGCTGAAGCCAAACTGGGTTACCGATCCAATATCGATATAGTTTTCATGATTATAATTAATGTTGAAAATTGTGTCAGTATCAGCGTTAGTGTTGAATGCAAATAGAATCATCTTTTGCTCTTGATTATTTTAAGCTCATTTAAATTTGTTTCAATGATGGAAAAATTAAACCATCTCATCATATAACATGTATCACGATCAGAACAAATTTTTCTATATATACACCCTGATGATTCTAGGAGTATTTTGTATGTGTAACTGTAGGGACCTGTAATTATCAAAAAATTAGAGTTTTGTGTCATGTTGCTTATATTCACTTCACCATTATCAAAGCTTAATTTACTTAAGCAAATATGAGCATTTAATGTGACGGCGAATAAAATTAATATGATAAAAAGAGCGTTGCAAGAGTAAAAAAACAAATTACATATTGTGTTGTTATAAAGATCATCCAATCCATCGTAATATACATTATATATAGTGATAGGCACTATCATTAGAGATCTCAACAGCTGATATCACAATATAAATTAGTATCAAAAATGCACATGCATTGAACATGAAGAGATAAATGCTTAAACTTCACGTGAGGCTTATATTTCGCTTAAATACTGTGTAATTGTTAGTATAAGGAATAGGGTTTGTGTGAATATACAATACATGTATATTTAAGCAAGAGTTTGAGTTTAAATTCTGAATCAGGAATGAATATTATATATTTCTTAATTTTGAATCGGGAATATATACATTGATCAGTCATAAACACAAAGTGTATATCTTGCGTCGTTGCAATGTCCAAAACCATCTGTGAGGCTTATAAATAAGTAAAGACTAGTATAAGAATAGGATTAGTATGATGTTGGTAATATATGTCAGTTCTCAAATGCTTAATATGATGAATATATGGGTTCCATCAGGTACACGTCATCCTATGGGATAAGCTAGTTAAATTATGTGCCTTCTGCTACGTGATTTTACTATAATCATAATTTACTAGAATCATGTGAAATTCTCTGTACGAATTCATGGATATTGTAAAATATTTGTCTTATAAACATAGAAAGCTTTGATGCAACTTTAATTCTCGTATCGTATATGGTAATAGTTTATTATATGGTATTTTTATTTTTATTTTAATCTGGTTTGATGCTACTGTGAAAGAATAATAAAGTATTATCTCGATGCGTAAATCTTTCAAATAATGTGCACATACAATCAAATGATATCCTATTATACAAGAATTCTTTACGTAATTATATTTATTTGATATTAACATACAGTATATTGTAAGTGACTTTCTTTATTTAAGGTAAATTATTCTTTTGAGTTCCTACAGAAAAAAGAATAGTCGAGATGACTAGTAAATTTTTTAATAATGATAATAAATTATCGAAACTTCACAATCGGGAGACTTTCTTCAATTTGACAATACAATTTGCATAACAATTCAATTTGCATGACAATTCAATTTGAGCTTTTAACATGATCTATTTCATTTAATCTTTAGTTTTACACACTAATTCAGCAATGCTCTGCTTACAACCTTAATTAAAAATGCTCTCTTCATTCCTTATCATATAAATTTTAATAAAATTTTATCAAATTTGAACTGATAATTGGTTTGCTATCAAAAACAGGACATTTAAAATTAACTTTACGCTAATTCTTAATGACTTCTGAAGACAAAAAAATCCATTCTATTTTTTTATTAATGTTAAGGTAACTTATTTTCCCAAATCCACTCTGACCAAGTAAGTATAGCATCTGTATACTAGTACAAATGACCTTGAAAGTACGGTTCAGATACTCTCCCCACAGGAAATTACGTATGGACGGTGAAAAAATCACCAATACGTACAACACAAATGATATGTATGTACATACGTATTAACCAAATATTAATTCGTAATTACGTAATTATTGATATTTGCAAACATTAATAATTTTACCTTTATTAAATATTCTAGCATTATCGTATAGTTGTCATTGTTGATATTTGCAAGCAATAATGAGTACATGTTTATGAGTTTACCTTTATTAAACACACTTGCATAGTCGCCATCGTCATAGTCGTCATCGTCATTGTCGATATTTACAAGGATCAATGAGTACATTCAAGTGTATGTTGTACAATAATCAAGAAGTATTTAGATAGGAACTTTTATTATAAAAGAAATACTCGCTCACTCTCACAAATCTTTATTCTTTATTTTTGAAGTACAAAAATCAACAAGTAATTTGATTATAAATTATAAAATGACTACATTCAAACAATTTTTCATGGTCGCTTTACTTCTAGCCTGTTTCTTCGTTTCGTCTAACGCAATGCCCAATCCACTATATGTAGGAGGAATTGAAAGAGGAATTGGAAGAAATGATGGAGGAGGATTTCCTTGTCCTATCGTGGAATGCTGGTGTGGAGATGAAAGTTGTGCTTCCCGTTGTTGTGTTTGGACTTGGTGCTAGATTGATTATAAAAAGTGAAAAATCAAGCATAATTTTTTTTATATAGAATTCAATATAAAAAAGTCATGTCATTTTCTATATAAATAGTTAGTTAATTTGCTACTTCATTGTATGATTTTAACTAAACACTCATAATAAAGTTGTTTTCACAGTTATTTATTATTGTTACTCAATACTTAATTATACCATTAATTTTGTGACATCAAAACTAGTTATTTAGTAGTTGAATTGATTCTTTTTTGCTTAATTATGTGTTGCAAATATTTTCTTCGAATATTTATAAATAAATCACTTCAAACTGTTTCTTGCAATAAACTTTGTGTTGGCATTGATCTTTGTATGGAAGCATCAATATCAATATTGATATCGATATCATCAATACAAACGTCGACATCAACAATAAATTCAAATTGTATGGTCGCAACAAATATCTTGCTAACGGAGAATGCTGCACTGTCGAAATACTTAAGAAACAAGGCATGTCTGCTGCAAAAATTGCACGCGTCCTTGAACGAACAGCTACTAGTATCTGTATTAACCCAAAATTGTGGTTATTTAAAAAGAAAGAATAGTGGCCAAAAATTAATTGTTGAGGATCGTTCGTTCTTATCGAAAGTTGACTGTATGGAAATTATCATCGTTATTATTACAGTCGACTCTCGATATAATGATCATGCAGATTCTATTGAATTTTTATTGTTTACAATAGGATCAGCATGGTCTTTATATCGAGAGTTGACTGTATTAATAACGATGATAATCAGGTTGTGCAATTTTTAACTTCACAATGAAATCTTGTGCACTGTTACATTATATACTCGCATGTACGTATAAATCAGTCAGGTTCTACATATATGTATTATAGACATTTCCCTCTTGTTAATCTCAAATACTGCTATAATAAATACGATTAATGTATTTTCATTTTCTTTGTCTCTTTTTTTGGGTCTTTGCGGTCTTTGCGGTCTTTGCTGAAAAACTGAGTAATAACACTGTTCTACCTCAACAAATTCAATTTCAAAATCAAAGAATACAGCAGAACATATAGAGAAAGTGCCAATTTGGCAGAATGGGCATATACATATGACCAAAGTCAGCCAGACAGGGTCATTCAAGTCAAACTTGATGCTATCAGACAGTATTGGGATTCTCCGGAAATATCTAATGCACCTCAAGCATATATTGACAATTACAGCCGCCGCTATACTCTCAGAGGCACATACCATGCTGATCACGTTTTTGAAGCACAAATTATCTTAAATTACTTTCAAAACTTGGATACTAATATACAAACTACTATGTGTAATACAATTATTGGGAACAACCTAGATATTGGATTACAAAATATCATGAATTCCAAGTACAATATGCGATTTCTTGATCCGCAAATTGACATGGCTAAGGGGACAATCTTCAGAAGAATAAGTGTGACAGATGAAAATTTAATCTTGCCGTAATAGACTATCTCAGAAACGATGATGTTCATAGAGCATTTGCTAACACCTGTATGTTAGTGATCGAGTGGTTAACAGTGGTAGCCCGCCAAGCTAACATTGATGACCTAATTTACATTGAAATATTTTAACGTGACTCACGTTATTACTATGAATTGATGACTGAAATCACTCTTAACCTTAGAATACCTTCTGAGTAATTTATACCTAATAGAACATATAAGTACTTCCATCATGTTTGTGAACTTATCGTCTATTATTTATCATATCTCTTATTTGTTTTATGCTTTTT